ACTAAGGAGAGGGAGAAATTGCTCTGGTGGCTTTTGAGTGTCTGCTATCTAATTGGGTAGGTTAGATGGACTTTTTAGACCTGCCGTGGAGTTCCTTACTTAGATACCTGGTGGTGGTGGTGGTTGTAGCCCTCTGGGCACCTTGTGATTACCAAGAAGGTTGAGTAGTGTTGCTGCGGATATGGTAGACTTGACAGTGGTTGTAAGGACTTAGAGCACTAGAATCTTGTAGAGTTTGGCAAGTGGAGGCGTGTGGTGGTGGTAGTCTTGATTGAGAAGTTTCTTGCTAGGTGAAGCTACAACTAAAATTCTTAATATGATCCTGCAGTGTTCTGTGGAACGCCCAAGAATGCAGAGTGATGGAGAAATGGTGACCAGACTCTTCCTATTGTTTGGTATAAAGTCAGTTTCAGTTGTGCACCATCATATCCAGACATGCTGCAAAAGCTCATTTTCTTGTGAGCTTTTAGGGCGATGGGGGTCTAATAGATAGAGGGTGGGTGGGTCTTGTGATATAGTTGTGTTGGGGGAGTTCACCTTTTTTCTTTTGTGGGAGTGTCTATGAACTGGTATTTTGTGTAACTGGAAATATACTGCTGAAGTATACTGCTGAAACTGTGGGAGGTGTCTGCAACTGTATGTCCCAGACAAAGAGGTAAAAAAAACCTCTTGGATCAAGTCCTCATTAGGTCTTCTAAAACTCTAACTGGTCATTTGTTTTTATAAGTTGAGTTTTTCTTTCCTAATAGTTTAGGCCCCACATTTAGATTTTTATGGTCTTGTTCTGTAGTTCTCATATAAACTATATCCCAAAATGGTTTTGAGAATTACTTAGTGAAGCAGAGGGAGTGAAGAGAGAAGTAAGAGTTGGTGACAAAGGAGAAAAGCTGCTCAACTGAAGTGTGAAGCAACATGGCAAGTCAGTGATAGTTTTTAAAGGGTTTTGAAAAACCCTTTAAAAACTATCAACTTGAATATAAATGTTTGATTTTTTTAAACTTCAGTTTTGGAAGAGAAGTTGGAAACTCAAGTACAAAAGGATTGTGTTAACATATGAGAACCATAAAATGAAACATCAGTCTAATTTTATTGTACAAGATGAAATGCAAAATGTGAACTGTAAATGGTGAAAAGCTATATTTTAAATTTTTTAATTAAAAGTAACACAAGGCTTCTTAATTATGGCATGATAGTGTCCCTTTAAAGAATGTGCACTTTCTTTCTCTGTAACAATTATGCTCATACTTAAGTTTAATTAGCTCTGTAGTAGGTTCCTGCATGCCCAGGTTCTTGACATCCTGACATTGGGTAATAAAATTCCTGTGTAGTGTTAAGTGCTGCTGGCGTGGACTGGTGTTAAGTCACAAAAGCTCTCTCTCCCTGTCCCCCTCCACCATGTTCAAATTATAACATTTCTGTAAGAGTTGAGCCAAGGTCCAAATGCTGTGGTTACACTATCCTAATATGTATGCAAATGAGGTGTTTATTCCTTTGAGGATGTTGAAATGGGAATAGTCCAAAAAGATTTGCAAAGGTTTTGGGACAAGGAGGGGGAGAGGAAACAGACCTGCTCTTATTGCACAGATAAGTATTAACTGCTTGTTCTTAGAGGAATAGGAAATTTTTCTGATCTGTGGAACAGGCCTCAACTTGGAAAGATGAGTTCAGGACACTCTCTAAATGGTTAAACTTAGTATCTAAAATCTGAATCCTGTGGTAGAGTTCTTAAATATATTCCAGTTACTTCACAAATGTGAACTTTTTAGTTGTGCATCCAACAGAATTGGTTCATTTATGTTAATATGGAAAGGTGTATTCTGCTCTTGTTCTCTGAACGCTTCTCTTTTTAGAATGTAAAAAGAATATTTCCAGGGAAGGAATATTTAATTGTGATATGTATCTCTCTTCCAAATCTAAAGTGAATTTATTTCAAGTTTTATTTTTTATGTACAGTAATTATGAATTTTTAGCTTATGAACTTTAAAGTGGAAAAAAGTGTTGTAATTATACTTTTTAAATATTGAAAATGTAAATAAAGATGAATTCTGCAAAATCAGTTCCTGCCTACTGGTTAGAATTGTGGAGAAGCTGGCTAATTCTTGTCACCCTTGGGCTGTAACAAGATTAGCTAGTCTGCAGTTGGGCTATGGGACAATTTATTTAATGACTAGGGCCCTGCCAAATTCATGGCTGTGAAAAACGCATCACAGAGCGTGAAATCTGGTCTTTTGTGTACTTTTACCCTCTATTATTCAGATTTCACAGGAGAGACTAGCATTTCTTAAACTGTGGGTCTTAACCCAAGAGGGTGAGGGTGGGTGCAAGATTACTGTAGGGGGATCGTGGAATTGCCACCCTTACTTCTGCGCTCCTGCCTTCAGAGTTGGGTCAGGACTCCTACAGTTACAACACTGAAATTTCAGATTTAAATATCTGAAATCATGAAATTTCAGATTTTTAAAATCCTATGACTGTGAAATTGACCAAAATGGACTGTGAATTTGGTAGGGCCCTATTAATGACCAAAGGATTTAGCCTGTTAAACTTGTAACATGTTGCAGTAAGTGGCTTCTCTAACATATTACCTGTTTAACCAAGGACATAAGTTTTTTTCCTTGCACTCAAGAGTAAGAGTAACTACGTTCTAGTTACAGATCTTCCAGATGCTCACACAGCATAATGAGGAGGGTGGGCTGGTGTCAATATTTTTATCCCAATTAGGTCCTGTTCATTTTGCAGTTTGGTCTAAGCAGGTATATAAAATATACTACAATGCCGGCAATATAAAATCCCCTCTTTTAGCATTTTGATAAGTTTGGTTCCAGTGACTTGTTCTACATTATCCCATGGTTTTCATCTAGATAGTTTAATACAGCCTATCAGCTAGCAGACTCACATTTCCAGTCTCCAACAGTCATAGCTGACTTTTTCAAAATGGCGTAGGGGACTCTTACAAAGGCATAAAGCGCGGTTAGGTACTTAACTCCCACTTAAATCTTCTCCTTAGACACCCTTCCCTAAAATTAATGGAAGATGGTTCTTAAACCCCACTGTTCAGTACTTGCCACCCAAAGGAACACTAGAATTGTCCACTTGTGTGTTTATCATATGCACAGGAACAGGAAGCTTCCTTTATTATTAGTTCAACCTGCAAATGCAAAATTATTTCTGCTGAGTCTCCTCTCCCAGAGATCTGTTTACTGTATACTGGTATAGACTTTGTTTTTGCTCCATGGAAAAAGTAGTGAGATGAAAAAGCTCTCTCTCTCTCTAGGTTTCCCTAGCTGATGCAGTGCTTCATGTGGTTTTCATTCTCTTCCAGGGATGAACAAGGAAACCTAGAGACAGCTTTTTGTCTCTACTTCTTCCATAGAGCAAAAACCACAAAAGTCCGAGTATACAGTGAACAGATCTCTAGGTAAACTGGGATTAAAATAGAAAAATCTGCTCTTGCAGGGACAAGTGGACAATTCTAATGTTCCTTAGGGCAGCAAGTACAACCTTCACAGATTTCAGAGTAGGAGCCGTGTTAGTCTGTATTTGCAAAAAGAAAAGGAGTACTTGTGGCACCTTAGAGACTAACCAATTTATTTGAGCATAAGCTTTCGTGAGCTACAGCTCACTTCATCGGACGTAGCTCATGAAAGCTTATGCTCAAATAAATTGGTTAGTCTCTAAGGTGCCACAAGTCCTTCTTTTCTTTTTGTGAACCTTCACCGAGACAACTGTACCTGGCCTTGATCTGGCCTCTGCATTACAGACTTGTGATCTGTCCCATACAACTCTACTCCAGTAATTGAAATTCAGACCCCCTTTAATCTGTCTTGATAGAAGAATCTACCTGCCCCATGTATCCTGTTAGTGAAGCTGTTACAGCTTCCCTTCAAGGAAACTGTAGTGAAGCCGAAGGATGGGCCAGAACCAGGAACAGATCAGTCCAGGAAGCCTTGCCAAAGAAATGGAGTGATGGAACTGATTTTTTTTTTTTCAATTAAAAGCGATCTCTGTTTTGAGAATTTTCTGATTCAATAAAACCAGCCCTAATTACTGAGATTATTATATGCCTGTAACTGTTTCCATCACATGCTTGCTGAGCACTTTATACAATCATTAGTGAATTAAGTCTCCCATTCTGCTTCTGCTGCCTATGAAAGGCAAAGACTGTTATTCCCAATTTATAAAATTGGAAACTGAGGTGAGTTTGCCGGACACCATGCAGTGAGCACAAGGAAGAGTTAGGGCTGGTATAAACACAGGTGGTGTTGTAGTACTATAAATATCTGTTCAGAAACAGATTATAGTTAAAGTGGGACAAATCCCCAGTGTGGACTATTATGCTGGTATAAAAGTGATTATGCTGGTATATTCCCCTAACCTTCAGGGGCTCCAGGAGTCCTAGTCCCTGTTGTGCTTTTACACTGGAGGGTGCCCTCTGAAGTGCCGCTCTGATTGCGCTGCCCTGTACTCACAGAAGCGGCTGCCCTGGGGCCTCTCCCCGCGGTGGGATGCTCACGGTACCAACGCGTAACTGTGTCAGCGGCAGCAATGGCTGGAAGGTTGCAGCGCCCAGGGGCCGCTCCGGGACAGCGCCGCTGGCCCGAAGCGGTTTCCGTTCTACACGGGGTTGGCAATTCGATTCACGGGCTCTCAGGAACCCCCGGCCCCCAGGACAAAGCGTCCCAGCGCCCCGGGGCAGGGAGCAGCGCTCCAGCGGTAAATTCACACGCGGCGCCCGCCAGGACCGGGGCGCGCCACACGCGGGGCCTGGAGGAGACGGGGCGGGGGGAGAAGCGGCGTTCGTGGATCGGGCGGGGCGGGGCAAGAGAGGCCGCCCCGACCCAGCGCTGCCGCCTCCCTCGCCTCAGCCGCGGGCGCTCGCGGAGCAAGGGACTCACGCGCCGGATCATGAGGCGACGCCCGGCGCGAAGCGGCCCCCGAGGTAGGCAGGCGCAGCAACGGCGAGTGACCCGCCCTCCCGCTTGTTTCTATGGTGACGGACCCGTAAAGCGCGGCTGCGTCAGTGCCGTAAAGGCTCTACTTGCGGCACTTCCGGCCGGCTGGGCCTAGGGCAGGCCGGGCCTACCCTGGCTTTGGGTCTGGAGAAGGCGCGATACCTCGTCCTCCCGCAACGATGGAGATGCCGCTGCCGCCCGATGGTGAGACCGGCCAGGGGGCTGGACTTGTCGCCACGGCCCCGGAGGCACTGGGGGTTCCTTCGCCGGGGGGCGGGGCAGGGTTTGGGCCTCGCCAAGGGGGTGGTCGGGGCGTGCGGGGCTTAGCTCGGGGAGGGTGTGCGGCCTCGCGGGGGGTGGGGGTAGCGGAGGCCCGGGGAATTGGGGTGGGGGCCGCGTGGCCTCAGGGAGGGGTGGGGGCCTGAGTAGGGCTGTGGCAGGGCGATGACGTTTCCCTCTCCCCGCCCCAGACCAGGAGCTGCGGAACGTCATTGACAAGTTGGCGCAGTTTGTGGCGCGGAATGGGCCCGAGTTCGAGAAGATGACGATGGAGAAGCAGAAGGAGAACCCCAAGTTCTCGTTCCTTTTTGGGGGCGAGTTTTATGGCTACTACAAGTACAAACTGGCGCTGGAGCAGCAGCAGTGTGAGTGTTGGTGTCGCCAAAGCCCTTGGCGGACAAGAACAGATGTATTTTAACCATCCGCTTGTTAAAGACTTCACAGCTAGTCTGTGACAGAGCTGGGACTAGACCCCAGCAGCCCCGATTTTCAGCCCCCTGATTTAACCACTCCCCTTGTATAGCTGGGAATAGAATCTAGGAGTCCTCACTCCCGCCCTCCACACTTCCAGTGAAGAATAGTGTATTTTAAGCTGCTTTTGAAAGGAAACTTTTGATTTTGGGGGGATGTGAATTTTATATTTTATAAAAAAGGAGGACTTGTGGCACCTTAGAGACTAACCAATTTATTTGAGCATAAGCTTTCATGAGCTTCATTGGATGCAGTGAGTTGTAGCTCACGAAAGCTTATGCTCAAATAAATTGGTTAGTCTCTAAGGTGCCACAAGTACTCCTTTTCTTTTTGCGAATACAGACTAACACGGCTGCTACTCTGAAACCTTTATATTTTATATAGCTCAGCCCAGACTCTCTCGTCTAATGTTTTGTCCTGACGCAGACAAATCTTAGCTTGAAGGGTTTTTTTCTCATCTTTTTTGTGGTTCGTGCTTAAGCAGTCGACTTAGTCCTGTGCATGCAGTCGCTCGTACTCTTTATACTGTAATTGTAGAAAAATTAAGCCAGTCATTATGGAAAAGCTGATCTGGCATACTTTAATGGTATTATTAAAATGTGAATGAGAATTAAGCATTTGCAACAGATCCAACTTGGGTTGTCCAGAGTCCCATTGTTAAATAAATACATGTTAAAAATCATGTTGAACTATAACATGCTGGAGCTTCAGATTTTGGCTAAGTATCCAGGAGTGTGCATCAGTTTGATTGATGTTTGTTTTATATTATAAAATTATGTAAGAAAGAGGTTGAGTTTGGTTTCTGGAGCTGACAGGGTGCATAGGTTGTTTAGGATATTGGTGTAAACAAACGGACCACTACTTATGACTCTTACCATGAACATTTTTTTCTGGTAGTGCTGTGCAAACAGACTCAAGACACAGAGGCCACTGCACAGATCCAGCCATTGTCACAGCCCTCTCTTCCGCCAGCTGCAGCTATCCCAGCTCCACAAGGAGCTCCCTCTGTGGAGGAACTTATCCAACAGAGTCAATGGAATCTCCAGCAGCAGGAGCAGCATCTCCTTGCTATGCGACAGGTAGGCTCAAGATCAAGTACTAGCTTTACATACACTGGACTGCCAGTGACAGCAGTCCACTGTGTGCGCACAAAGATTTGGAGTGAAGGGAATCTTGAGCATCTTGCTTCTAGCTAGTGGTAATTTAGGGTAGCATGGGAGGAGACATGAGCCGGCATCACTTTGCATATGGTGTCTCCTGCAGAACAGAAATGATAACCTGTTTAGAGCAGAGACACCCAACCTTTGTTCAACCAAGGACCACATTTATAATTTACGAAGAAAGTGAAGGCTACACTCATCTTGCATAAAATTGAAAGGTTGCAGCTGTGACTTGCAGAGGCTTTCAGCATGCAGCAATCCATTTTTTATCTGAATGGTGGTTTCTTGGATCAGGGTGAAACATTGCATGCAGGAAACAGTGGTTTTCATGGGCCACAGCTCAGTATTAAAGATGTGTTGTATTACATTGTAGAATTCTCTGGGTGTGGACCTGGATTATGTGCTGAGGTCCTTGCTTGGTTTCTGCTAGATACTGACAAATACAGGATTTGTCATAGGGAAGCAGGTGGACAAGGGGTTAGTGACAGCCAGCTGAAACGTAGCTGTACCTGTGTCAATAGGAGTAGAGAATCTTGGTCTCCGTAGAGGGCTTCCTATGACTAGGAGCACCTCCGATTTATTTGCTGAGTTTTGTATCAAAAGGATATTGCCAATACTAAAACAGTCTTTTTTAGGAACAAGTTACATCAGCGGTAGCCCTTGCAGTTGAACAACAAATGCAGAAAGTCTTGGAGGAAACCCAGCTAGACATGAATGAATTTGATAACTTGCTGCAGCCAATAATTGACACATGTACAAAAGATGCAATCTCAGTAAGTAAATGTCTAAGCTCACCCATATGTTCTGTTCCTGCCTTTGCCGGTAATATACTTGTGTGTGTAACGTGCAGTTTTAGGAGGGTGTGATTGCATGTAAATAGATCAGACTGGTGGTGTTCCAGCTGTGTATGTCATCCTCTCTGTTAATACGAGTGATTCCATATGTTTCCTGTTCTGCTTATGAACAACTCATCAGAGTTTGTTGACTGCTGTTCAGTAAGGAAGGCAGTTTACAGTCAGGAGCGAGTGGGACTCTGCTTGGGGTGTTGGGGCAAGAGATGCGGGCTGAACTACCCTACATAGGGAGACTAGATCAGTTCCCAATTCACAGTACCATTGGGACAGCTCATTTATAACTCTGATGGTTTGGAAGTCTGATAAAGATATCCACAGGGGGAAGAGAGAAGCCCAGAGCAACAAATCATTTGGTCTGAGGCAGTGAGCAAAAGCAAAATGGGATGGACAAAGCCCCAAAAGATGGATGAGAGGAATTAAGTCTGCTGGACAAAATTCAGTGACCAACATCTTCTTAACCCAAACAGCTGTTAAGTGTCATTACTAGTTTGAACATGGTTTGTGACCTCTAACTGCATTGTATACAGTTTTAGTTAACTGCTTCTTTGTTTAGTTGTATAGTATACTCAATAACAGCTGTTACATGGGAATTCCCTTCCTTGTAGTTTCTTGCAGACTAGTGATCTATTGCTTTATGAAATCCATGCAGTGTGAACAAGTCAGATTAATTTAAAATATTTTAAATTGGTTTTCAAAGGCTGGCAAAAACTGGATGTTTAGTAATGCAAAGTCTCCTCAACACTGTGAGCTGATGGCTGGACATCTGCGAAATCGCATAACAGCAGAAGGGGCACACTTTGAGCTTCGGTTACATTTAATCTATCTAATCAATGATGTGTTGCATCACTGGTAAGATTTAAAATGCATTCTTCAACTTGTTGTTCTCATGAGTTTAATAGATAGTCATGGGTCTCTCTGCTAGAAAATTTGTACTTCGCCTGATTTGGCACAGTTTTTTTTATCTACATAGTCCCATCATGTTTAGTGACTGTAGAATGATGTCTATAATTGGTGCAAGCAGAGTGGTGGTAGAGTAAGAACTGAATTAACTTGGTCATTGTTGTACATTGTTTCCAGCTGATGCTGTGTGGTTAAAAATGTAAAGTATCCTATTCATTATATACAAATGAGTTACTAACCATATACGTCTGTATTTGGATGAGACACTTGTGGGTGGGTATTGCTGCTCATTTAACAATATAGTAAAAGGCTGATACTTTTTTTCCCTCCCTCCCTTTTATAGCCAGCGGAAGCAAGCACGAGATCTTCTGGCCGCTTTACAGAAGGTGGTTGTCCCTATATATTGTACTAGCTTTTTAGCTGTGGAAGAGGATAAGCAACAGAAAATTGCCAGAGTAAGTAGTTGTTTTAGGTTAGCTTGAGCCTTATGTTTCTGTTTTCAATGCTGGAGAAGTCCTTGTGACTAGTTTATAAAGATGTAGCTTACTGTACCCTAATGTTGTTCTGTCACTGCTGTCATGTGCTTAACAGTATTTTTTTTTTTTTTTTTCCCCTGGGTTTGTACAGCTCCTTCAGCTGTGGGAGAAAAATGGCTACTTTGATGAATCAATTATTCAGCAGTTACAGAGCCCGGCTCTTGGACTTGGCCAGTACCAGGTTAGCCATGAGAGAAAGTTGGCCCCTCATTATAATTGCATAATAGATTGCGGACATATTTTTAAGTGCTGAATGCAGTAACTCCTCTTTTGTGAGATGTAAATAGTAGCTGTCTCTTTGTTATGAACTTCTATTCTGCCGCAGTACAAAAATAATGTAATACATTGTTCTAAAGTTAAATACGGTGGGGCCATTTAAAATATAGCATATAATTATACTGTTCTGATTAGGCCTAGTTTCTTCATCCCTTCACCCCATCAGCTTCCTCATCTCTGGCCCTGATTCTGCTCTCTTGGCATGTTTGTTGTCTTTACGCCCACCCTGGCTCTTTGCTTACTTCATTCTCTTCTTTCTTTGGTTGCTGTTAAAGTTTTTTATAGTACCATCTGCGTCTGTGGTTAACCCTTTGTTAAGTCACCCAAAATGAATGCTGCTAATTGCCAGCTTTTAAATAAGGTAAAGGGAAATACAGGAGGGATTTTCCATATAGCATCTAGTAAATCGTAATGAGGGTTTGTGATCTGAGTAGTTTCAATCTCTGAATCCCTCTAGGAAGAGGTGGATACATTACTGGGGGAGCCTGTATGAGCAGGGATGGTGTCTATTATGGCTGCACGGTAACTTCTTGAAAATGCTGATCTTAATTTGTGTCTCATCCCATCAGGCAACTTTGATCACAGAATATGCATCAGTAGTGCAGCCTGTGCAGGTGGCCTTCCAGCAGCAGATACAAACCTTGAAAACACAACATGAAGAGTTTGTCAATAGTTTAACACAGCAGCCACAGCCGCAGCAACAAATACAAATACCACCACTGGAGAGTGAGGTAAAATCGACACCCCCGCCTCCGGCTCCAACACCTGCTGCAGCACCGCCTGCTGCTCCAGTCAGTCAAGCAGGTATGATTGCATTCTCGGGACTTGTGTGTTACAAGCTAACGGCTGTCAGCTTTCCTGAAAGTTTACCACTTGTCTTGATAATAGGCTGCTATTTAGACTGACTTGCCCATCACGTATAAGTTGTTTGGGCAGATACTGTCTATTTTTGTTTTTACAGTGCAACAAAGGGTGGCTTTTACAAGAGTCTCCAATTTATTTCAGATGATGGCAAATCTCAGCTTCCTCTAGCTGCTTCTGCAGAGTATGATGCAACAGGGGCCGGGGTGCAAGATCCTGCAGCTGCTGGACCGCGTGGCCCTGGGCCTCATGATCAGATTCCTCCAAATAAACCACCCTGGTTTGACCAGCCTCATCCTGTTGCACCTTGGGGTCAACAACAGGTACCAAACTTGTAAATGTAGCTATGGTAAACACTGGGGTGTCCAATAATTGTCATATTGTGAAAATCATCACACAATTAGGAGCTTGGTGAAAAGCTGGAAATGTTAATCCAGATTTTAAAATATCTGGAGTTTTCATAGTCAAAAGAAAGCTAAATAGCAAATCATTAATCATATTTCACAGTTGTCCTTCTACTGCTTTTCCTTTATGAGCATGCAGGTGCTCCCTCTGGGGTTCAAAGCTCTTTGGGCCATTACTCTTATGTTGTGTTAAGAACAGGAATCCTGGTGGTAGATATGCTGATCAGTGACAAATCTTTTCTTACAGTTAATGACAGGATTGAGAAGAACACTTTAGCTTTTCCTTCAAAATTCTCCTTTTCAGTTTGTCCTAACTTTTAGTTGCAAAGCAGACTCTGTACACAGATGTTTGTTCCCCCTCCTCTGTGCACATGTAGTACTTACACTCTAGTTAATAATTTAGAAATAGACTGTTTTTATTACATTCTTTATATTTATAGCCTTATGACCAACCTTCTTACCCTCACCAGCAGGGACCTCCACACTGTCCTCCATGGAATAACAACCATGAAGGAATGTGGAATGAACAGAGAGACTCAGGATGGAATAACCAGCGGGAGACCCCTTGGAATAACCAGCCAGATCCTTCTTGGAACAACCAATTTGAAGCACCATGGAACAACCAACATGAGCAGCCCCCATGGGGAGGGGGCCAAAGGGAACCTCCATTTCGAATGCAGCGGCCACCCCACTTCAGAGGCCCGTTCCCTCCCCATCAGCAACATCCCCAGTTCAATCAGCCCCCACATCCACATAATTTCAACCGCTTCCCACCTCGCTTCATGCAGGATGACTTTCCACCTCGCCATCCCTTTGAAAGGCCGCCTTATCCTCATCGTTTTGACTACCCCCAAGGGGACTTTCCTCAAGGTAAAGTGGGTACTGAGGATGCTGACGATTGCTGTTTTAAAATTAATTAGTTCCTTGCGATGAGAGCTTGACATCAAAGGAATGGGATAGCCCTTCCTGGAAAGCTCTCACCCCTCAAGGGCTCGCATCCCTCGCCACCTGCTGCTATACACCTTAGTTTTAGAGTTGTAGATTTCCAAAGCCTGAAGAGTCTACTGTGATCATCTAGTCTGACCACCTACATAACTCAGGACTGCCGTGAATTAACTCTTGCTTCAAGTCAAATTGCTGTGGTTGAACTAGAGCATATCTTTTAGAAAAAATGTTCATTGTTGATTTAAAAACTTCCAGTGATTGAGAATCCACCACAATGCTAAAATTTCTTTGAAATGTATTGGATGGAGCCAACATCATGTGTGAGTAGGGAGAGTAGCCCGAGCAATAGGAGAGAATAGAGAGCTAAATCCAGACAAGTTGCTCCATCTTCTGAATTCTAGCAGGGAATTGGAGAGACACTTTCTTATTAAATGTAAACAGGGTGGGAGAGAGCCTGGAAATGGTAGAGACATGTTTTTTACTTCATGTTTAATAGTATTCTGCTTCTAATGAAAGTGAGAGACTACCAGCACCGGCTAGAGTTGGGTTAGTCATAGTGCAGGCTTTCCCTCCAGCATCTGTCTGCTCATTCTTGCCCTGCAGCACCCTCGGCTGTTCCAGGCTGGATCTCCCATGCAGCACTGTCAGCGTATTTCACAATGGCCCAGTTGTGTGCTGTACACACAGCCAGTATTTTTTGTCCGTTATGGGTCATGCTGAGATCATTCATTGCCTTATTTTAACAGGAACATTTTCTCTCCTTCCTTTTGGAATGCCCTGTTAACAAAGCACTTGCATGTCATGTCGTCCTCCTGTGAAACCACTCCCATCTGTTTGTCTGTGCACGTTGATAAAACTTGCAAGTGTATTGCTTTCGAGATGGACTGCAATTGTATTTTGAGCCTTTAGAAGTATAACACATTAGTGCCTCCTTTGTTGAATGCAAGGTAACCTGGTTTTGAGAATAGAAACTTTCATTCTAGCGCTTTCCAAACTCAAGGTACTACAAAGTGACAGGGCCTTAGTTTTTGAAATTTTGCTATTGAAAATATGGGTGGCTGGTATGCTAGGGAGGGAGAGAGACAGTAGGTGCTTCATGAGTGAGCACAGACCTGTATCCAGTGTCTTCTCTTCCCTGTAGTAGTTATTGAGCTCTCCTTGTAGTAGGATTTTTTTTCTCTTAGAATAAATGTATGTGGTGAGGGGCATCTCAATTAGTTGTCCTCCTTCCTGTCTTCCCCTCTTGTCCTTCTCTGTGCAGAAATTGGACCACCTCATCATCATCCTGGGCATAGATTGCCTCATCCTGGAATTGGTGAGCATCCTCCTTGGGGTGGGCCACAGCACCCCGATTTTGGGCCTCCTCCACATGGATTTAATGGGCAGCCTCCTCACATGCGGAGGCAAGGCCCCCCTCACGTAAACCATGATGATCCCAGCCTGGTGCCAAATGTTCCCTACTTTGATCTTCCTGCTGGACTTATGGCTCCACTTGTGAAAGTAAGTTGCTGAAATGGAAGCTGGGCAGAAGGGTTAAAAGATCAAACTCCCATGATCAATTTTAGGGACAGTTTAAAATTAACGCGCTATTTATTACTTCAAAGTAGTGTGCTTTGTGCATCAATCAGGATTGACACAGGGGACATTTCAGAAAAGCAGCTAGCTAGACTATGAAGAAAGAAGACCCTTCTCAAAATGTTAAGTCCCATCGATTTTAAAGTTTACCATAATTTTAAAATCAGTTGCACATAGTGATTTATAGGAGTGTGGAATCAGTTCCAGTTGCTGGCCAGCTATGTTTGGTAGCTGGTCTTAAACTCTTTTCTGTGAAGACTTCTGTAATTCTTATCTAATACAAGTGAAGAAAACACCAGAAAATAGACTGTAGGGAACATACTGGCTGCTGTGGGATGGGTTAAATTGGTATAATTTATATAGTATTCTAGATTAATTAATAGGTCTCTTATGTGTCTAAATTCTGTTATTCCTAGAGCATATCACTGTTTCCCAAGTCTCATGCCAGAAGCTTGGATATCATGGGGCTGTATAGACTACAACTATGTTTTATACACCTAGGAATCCCAGCTAACGTGCTGCCAACTTTAATGCTGCAAATGTCACTAGGTTTTTGTTTTATACTAGACCCAGTGCTTGTTTATGGTACCGGCCAAAGCCTTATTTTTAGACCATTTTAAACTCAGTAATGAAGTGCAAGATGTCTAAGCAGTTAAACTTTCTAGGCATATTTATCTTTTTAGGTAGTCACCCCATGACTTGAAAGCCATCTGTTTTGTTTCTGACAGCTTGAAGATCATGAATATAAACCTTTGGATCCTAAAGATATACGTCTTCCACCCCCAATGCCCCCAAGTGAGAGGTTGCTGGCTGCAGTTGAAGCATTTTATAGTCCACCATCTCATGACAGGCCTAGAAACAGGTAAGAATATGTATAGCCAACAATATGGTAAGGAAAATGCCCTGCCCTGAGAAGCTCTCAGGGCCTTTAACTTGGTTCTGCTAATGCTGAAATAAGTACTCTAAGTTACATTTTGAACTTCATCCACTCCAGTGTGCTGTCTGGTCTCCTACTGAGAGCACGTGAGACCACTTTCCCCAGGCTCCCTATTTTCTAAAAATCCTGAACTCGTCTATTTGACAAAAGTGAGCTTTTCCCATATATTGACTCTGTGTGTGGTTGATATCTTGCAGTGAAGGCTGGGAGCAGAATGGGCTGTACGAGTTCTTCAGAGCTAAAATGAGAGCTAGACGGAGGAAAGGTCAGGAGAAGAGAAATAGGTAAGAGTTCCCTTAAGTGCCTTTTGCCATTCATTTAGACTGTGCTACTGCTGCCTTAATTAGACATATAGTCAAAATCTTTTTGACAATGTGCTGGGGCAATAATTATGTCTAAACTTTCTGGAGCTTGATTTATTTAACATATAGAAAACCGCATACTTGCCACCCTGGCAGGCTTTGGCTTCACTGGGTTGTCAACAAAATTTCAGGATGTTTAAATTTTAGTTTAATTGAAAGTACATGTTTGCTTTTTATGCCGCTTACAGGAATCTTACTCTGGTTTCTTGGTATTTTGTTATCCCTATGCAGTGGGCCATCTCGATCTCGCAGTAGGTCTAAAAGCAGAGGTCGTTCCTCCTCACGATCCAATTCAAGATCTTCAAAGTCATCTGGCTCCTATTCAAGGTCCCGATCACGATCCTGCTCCCGATCACGATCCTATTCACGATCACAGTCCAGGTAGGGTGAAGCAAGAGCTCATTAGGAATTATGGCTAGCTAAATCTCCTAAAATGCTGGATGTGTGCCATTATGATCCTTCACAACAGCCCTTTGGGGGTAGGGCAGTAAATATTCCCAATATTACTGATGAGGAAAATGATGGAGAGGTGAAATGAGCTGTCCAAGGCAATGCAATGAGTTAGTGACAGAGTTGTTAGTTGAACTCAGAAGCTCCTGACTCCTGACCCTGTTACTTTAGACTGTGCTCACTTTGCATATTCAAAAATCTCTCGAAGGTTGAGAATGCAGGGTTTTTCTCCAGAAAATGGAAGATTCTGAAACTTAGCTCTAGGTTTTTTGCTTTCTTCAGGAAATCTTAATTAGTTTAAGGCACCAAAGGTCACAAGGTTTTGTTCAGGGAGATGAATATATAGAATGCACCACACTGGAAGCTGTGTACATGAAATGGTATATCAGCATTTCTGTCCATAAATTCTCCAGATCTTAGATACCTTTTTAAAAATACTATTTCATTAATGTCACAGGTGAATTACAAAAGCTAGGGAACCAATGAAAAAGCTATATATTGCTATAATCCTGTGCATTAGAGAAAGGTAACTGACTTCACACACTCTTACTTTCCAGAAGCAGGAGCAGGTCCCACTCTTCTCGTAGTCGGTCACGGTCACGGTCAAGATCAAGATCTAAATCTTACTCCCCGGGAAGGCGGCACCGGTCCCGATCTCGCAGTCCCACTCCTCCGTAAGGCTTTCCATTGGATTGAGTTTGATGTACTCTCTGAGCGGGATGAGGTTGGGCTAGGACTTTTCTGATAGTTTCTGTATATTAATCACTTAACGAATTGGGTAGAAAAAGGCAGTATTCTTAGCTGATCAAACCATAACTTGAACAAACTGCGCGGTCATGTCATATATACATGGAGAGAGGATAAAATGACTTTGTAGTTCCTGGTGATAACTAAAACTTGTGTTTTAAAACACTGCATAAAAAACCCTTAATTACATAACATACTCTTGAGAAAACCATGGTATCTGATATCCTTGGTATCTGCTGCTGCGGTGGGGAGTTGCATAGAATGTGCTGCAACAGGACTCCTTGTGTCTTGCCTTTCCAAAGGTTTATATCTGGCCAGTTATGTTGATTATAGAAGTTTAAACAATACATATGCATAAAAAATAAGTTATATGCAATATGTTTTAACACAGTGAAATGTTAAAATTCTAATGATAAATTATAACTTGTATTTTCTCTTAGCTCTGCTGCTGGTTTAGGCTCTAACTCCGGGCCTCCTATACCTGATTCAAGACTTGGAGAAGAAAATAAAGGGCATCAAATGTTAGTGAAAATGGGTAAGATTTATTGTCTTTGATTGAAATAATCATCCTGGGTCCTCCCCCAAATAGAACCTTTCACAAAGCAGGGAGGAAAAAAAAAGCAGCCTTCTGACTTTAGGACACAGTGTTTTACACCTTACTCCGGAAGGTCCTTGCTCTCCAGGGTTTCACGTACTGTATGGGTGAGAGGCTATAATGTAATTTTTATGGTGCCCCTTGGCTTGGACTCTTCTGCCTAAAGATAATTTAAGTCACGCTCTTAAAGAGTGTAGACTTCAGAAATAAAGCCACGCTGCATTCATAAATATGTGAGCCAAACTTGTTCTGATCCCCCTGTTAAAGTTGTGCAAGCATTCTGCTGATTAGGATCAACTATATTGGATAACTTTTCTCTAGATGACAAGCTTAATTGTCACACTGGAAAGGCAGCTACTACGTTCAGCCCACAGATAAATGTGAGATAACAGGAAACTATCATTGAACACCAAGACACGGGTCTGATAGATGTGTGTTCTGAGCAGACTGCTGTGTGGCTACTAGATGTGTGTTCTGAGCAGATTGCTGTGTGGTGGAGAGACCTGGACCAGTGACAGCAGGCGTCGGAGAAGGCTAAACTTTCCACAGCCACTGTCTTTTGCCATATTCTAAATATCAAGTGGGAATCCAAAGTTCCTGACACTAAAGTACTTGAGAAAGCAAAACTGCCAAGTCTAATCGCTAGTCTCAAACACCGACCTCTCCATTGGCTTAGTCACCTGCAGCGTATGAACAATGGATGCTCCAAGGCCACTAGGCTGACCTAGGCTCAGGTTCAAGGTCATTTGCAAGAGGGACTTGAAAACTTTCAACATCAACACTGCAAGCTGGGAAGCTGCTAGCAACAGGTCACACTTGGAGGGCTGTGCTGCATCAGGAAGCTGGAGGCTGAAGAGAAGTAGCTAAGAGAGAGGAAAGCAAAGAGCGAAGAGGAAAGACCAGCAGATCTGAAATGCTAGTAGTGTGCTGTCTTCATCTTCTGGCCCTTTGTCTTACGCCTGCATTGTTCATGGAAAGACTTCAAGGATTAGACATTTTAGCCACTCATAATGCTGCAGCATGACATACACTAACTGAACTACTTTGGTGTTTACACCATTCTTTTGAGAGGGATGGTTGCCATATATATCTGTATAAAGCACCCAGGACTAAATGCATTTCATATAGAATCATGTAGGGCCTCGAGGTCATCTAGTCCATCACCATGCTGAGGTAGGAGCAAGTATATCTAGACCAACCCTGACAGGTGTTTTGTTTAACCTATTCTTAAAAACCTTCAATTGTGGGGATTTCACAACTTCCCTTCGTAACCTATTCCAGCACTTAACTATCCGTATAGTTCAGAAGTTTTTCCTAATATCTAACTTAAATCTCTCTTGCTGCAAATTACTTCTTGTCCTATCTTCAGTGGTCACGGAGAACAATTGATCACTGTCCTCTTTATAACAGCTCTTAATGTATTTCAGATGAAGACTGTTAATGTGTAGGTGAATTGTGTGACTGTAGGCCTATTGCACCCAAGGAGCTCTGAAAATAACTGGTACCCCCTGCAATCGTGAGTGAGAGAAGGGATTGAGAGGTCGTAACTTCCCTGCCTTTGCTAATAGTAAATGAAACCAGCCATGCATTTCATTGTCCACCTTATTTTTGGCCTAGGTTGCAAAAGGCTGAGACTGGGGTAGGTTGTTTTGGAGCTTCTGTTGTAAACTGTTTCATCTTACAGCCTTGTCAGAAACAGTATTAACACTGTTTTATTGCAGCTCTTTAAGTACTTATATGGCCCCTATTGTCATAATTGATAGAGCCACTCATACTAACAAATTTATCCTGACTCACCCCTTGTAAGGTAGAGAAGTACTACTAATAATCCCCATTTTACAGATGGGGAAGTGAGGCACAGAGAGAGTAAGTGACATTCTGAAGGTTGCAGAGCAAGCCTGGTAGAGCGCAAGCTTGAATCTAGAACTCCTGAACCCTAGGCTAATGCTCTAACTGTTGGGACTAACCTTCCTTCTAACATATTAGAATGCCAAATCTTGCAGTCCTGCTCTTGACTGCTTCATGTGTAATAATTTTTTAGTTGGAAATACAGACCTCTCCTTCTAATGATTATCTACTTTCCTCCTCCCCAAACTGTCCTGCAGCAGGCAGTTGTTCATCAGTCACTCATATAGGTTCTAAACTGGTTTTATGCACACCTTCATAACAGGGCTAGCTTAAGGCAATACAGGGCCATAGTCACCTTGTTATACACCCCCACCTGCCAGTCCTACTACCATGTTGAGTGGTAGTTGAAGGGGCCCTCATTCCCTTCCAGAGAAGCAGGGGGTATGCCATGGGCGTGGCAGCAAGGGGACTCCCCACACTAGGTACTTGCTCCAGTAGACAAAATATATCTGATGGTTGAGTGGGAAGGTGGAGCCCACTGCACTCCTCCTCGCGCACACAGTGGTGTCAGGTGGTGTCAGTGCCTCCCATTCTCCACAAAGCCGCAGGTCTTGAGATGAACGGGACAGTTCACCCTTCTCGGAGCTGTTGTTTCAGGCTGTGTCAAGCTTCTTGTACACGATTTCCTCACTTTTGTTTCCTGTACAATTCACACTCTACTGAATTCAATAACAAGATGCTCTCCCATGTCCTTTTTATAGGATGGAGTGGATCTGGAGGACTGGGAGCCAAGGAACAAGGAATCCAAGACCCAATTAAAGGAGGGGATATCAGAGATAAATGGGATCAGTATAAAGGAGTAGGAGTTGCACTAGATGACCCATATGAAAACTACCGCAGAAATAAAAGTTACTCGTTTATTGCACGCATGAAGGCCAGAGATGACTGTAAGTGAATGTTGATGGACAATCTAAAAAGGTCCTGTGAACCCATTGTAGTTAATATAATAGCTACTTTAGCCCACTTGGCAAGGGTTTCCCTAGACTATAAAAACCAGTGGAGGTTGCATAGGGAATCAAAAGATTAAGAACACAAATCAGTTTTATAATTATTTTATTATTATTCATTTTTACATTTCTGGGTAAGTAAGTGCCGCTCCCTGAATAACCCCAACACTTTTTCCTTGGTAAGAGCTGTTGTCACACTACATTACTCCTGGGGACATTCTGCACCAAAAAATTAAAAAATTATGCACACAATATTTTAGAATTCTGCAAAGTTTATTTTTCAAAATAACACTATATAATCACACCAGTTTCAATTCTGGTAATTTATTTCAAAATATGTGTCAGCAAGTATGTCTGTAACAATACAGGTTTCAGAGTAGCAGCCATGTTAGTCTGTATTCACAAAAAGAAAAGGAGTACTTGTGGCACCTTCGAGACTAACCAATTTATTTGAGCATAAGCTTTCGTGAGCTAGCTCACGAAAGCTTATGCTCAAATAAATTGGTTAGTCTCGAAGGTGCCACAAGTACTCCTTTTCTTTTTGTAACAATACAGAGATGCACAGAAAAGGAGCAGAGTTAAAGAAACCCCTTTGACAACCCAGTTCCTGTTTCTCTGCCCTCTTCCTGCCCGCCCCCGGCCCTGCAGTGCCCAGCCAGGGGGCCAGATACCTGCACCCACTCCCCTCCCGGAGCCCAGCTGCAGGGTCCACCGGCCCAGATACCTGCACCCCCCATCTAGAGCCCAGACACTTCCCCCAGGATCCAAAGGGAGAAACAGCCTGATGCTTGGTCCCAGGCTTGCATGGAGTTTCCTGTGTACCTACCTGCCACTGTCTCCTTCCCTCAGGGCATGCTGGGAACTGCAGCTGCTAGGAGCCCTCTAGCTCCCTCCCCCTGGTAGTGTCTTCTATGTGTGAGCTAGGCTCTGCCAGGTCCAGTGGCCCCTAGTGGCAGCCAACAGCACTGCAGTCCATTTATGGGGGGAAAGGAAATTCTGTGCACACATTAATTTCTGCAAAATTCTGCATTGTGCGGCATTCCCCCAGGAGTACTACATACAGCTGCTATCTCTTTTGGAATACTTGGTTAAAACTGAAAAGACTATTGTAGCAGGAAAGAACTATGCATTTTCTAAATTTAATCTGAGTTGAGCCTTATTTGCAATTTGATGTGCATTTTTAATTAACCTCTTCTTTCATCTTTCATTCCAAGTCAACCCCACTTATTTCCCTCCTCTACAAGCCATGTTTTGGCTGTGGGGTGGTTGCTAGGCAGTTTGTTTTTTTTAACCTTCACGAAACTAGATTTTATCCCTAAACTATCGGGGGAGGATGGCTAATGGCTAGTAGGGCAGGAGGAAAGGATGGGTTTGTGGGTACTGGGAGGCAGGCTGGCATTCCTGCCTGGCTTTGTCTATCCAGCTGTGAGCTGCTTACCCTTACTGTTGAGTTCTGCTCCTTTCCTAAGGACCAGAACCAGAGTGGGTAGGCACAGCACAGACCTGAAGTAGAGGCTTAGGAAAAGATGACACAGGTGTAACTTACAATGGTCTTTGCCATTGTGAGTGGCACTCTGTGTGATGGAGAGCCTCATTTTGAGAATGAGGGAGGGACAGGAGTTGTAGGGGTTCTGAGTGACAAGTACCCTTGCTGAGTAAAGATTCACAAATAGCAATGGGGAAAACAGTAAGAGGGAGGTGCTTTGGGCAGGAAAAGTCACTTCTGGCCATAGCTCTATGGCTGTGTAACAGTCTCTACCCCCTCCCCCCCCCCCAATAAAATGTGGAGAGAGAACCCATTTTGTGAATGGAGCCCTCATCCTAAACTGCATTACTCTTCAGACAGAACTGAGACTAACTGCAGAATGTGTAAGAACTTTTTTCCCTATTGTTTCAGTGAAGCGTGAAACCCAAGACCCTCCACCACCTGAATAAGACTCCCTGAAATCTGAAGAAAGATGTCTTGCATCTTCTGCAAAAGATTAAACTTAATCTTGTATAAATCAGGATTAATGTCTGGAGGAAGTGACTTTAAATCTATGATGGAAAATGGAAGGCTATGACATGTATTCCAACATTTGTTTAGTGCTTTAAAAAGGCCAGTCATTTCTGTTACATGTCTAGCGAGTTTAAAAATACCCATTTATTTTGAAAACTTTTAAAAATTAGTTGCCCCATTTTATACTAGAACTAAACCCCTGCCAAGCTATCCCTGCTCCAGGATTGTGATCCACTCATTCCTGTGGAATACAGCTGTTACTTGTTATGGTTCTGTGTCTCTTGTTCCATAATGTATGTTTTTCTCTCAAAGGTTAATTCTATTTGAAGTGGAGGGGTTGCTGCCTTGGGAGCAAGTCAGACTGATGCTGAACAGTGTATCCTAATGTCTAAATGGGGAATGAAGCACCTAATTCCAATACAGGTGACCTATGAGCACTGTATGAGCTTATTAGAATCTACTACACAACTTAAAGCCCCTATGCACCACCTGCTGCAATCACAATTCTATTCAGAATGTAGAGTGTTAACTGTTTTAGCCACTCAAGTGCTCTAAGATGTTCAGTGCTTTGTAATGAAAGGCATTCTTTAAGCTTTTTATATTTTTGTATATACCCTTGAATAAAAAGCTAAAACTAATTCAGTAGAGAAGACTTCATTTTCCCCACCCCACATTTCTAAATATGAAACATTCTTGGAAACCACCCTGCCTACAAAATACCCTTTTTTGTAACTGAATTCTGTTTCCAGAGACCACCAGCTACAGATGTTAGACATCCTTACACTGCACCTCCACTGCAGAGGTCTGCCGGATGGCAGCCTCTTCCAGAGCCATTTTTACAGTAAAAACAATCTTCAAAACCATCCAGTCCAATATGGTAAATCAACTTGTTTTAGATTTATTGTAGCTGTGAAACTGTAACTGTCTGTGAATCAGCAAAAGACATGTATGTTACCAACTTGTGAATTTTACTGTTTTGCCTTCAAATAAACACTTTTATAAAATTGCCTTTAGCTTGTTTTTCCAAAGTAAGTGGGTTGTCCTTACCTAGATAAAGTAGTTTCTTCTTAACTTGTCTGGAATTCACCTTTATTTTTAAGAGTAGGTGTTCTGAAAATTTTTTCTATAACAACTTGAAGACAAAATTATATCCATACACAGTTTGAAATGAAGCAGTGCACTAACTTAATATGATTGATATTCTTTCACTTTTGGACTCCTCACCTGAACAATAATGGAGGTTTGCTTTTTTTTTTAACCATATCACCACTATGTTAAATATGCAGGTCAAGTTCTGATTTATAATGCAACAAACACTACATATAATCCTTTGTTTCTTTGCTTGCTAGGTTTAATGTGCTGTTTCTTACTTAGCACATTTTAAGTCTAACTTACCACTGAAGACATGTAGGTAGTTAAAACTAATATTTGCTGTAGTGATAGGCTACTTTCTTGTTCCTGAAGAGCATGTACATAAGGATAAAGTTTACAGATGGCATGAATTCTTACCACATGCAAAATCAATTCAGTAGCAGTATCTGCCTTTTCTACAACAGTTGAAAATCTTATTTCAGTTTGAGACTTGCAACTGAAAATCCCACTTGTGAAAGTAAATCTGGTTATTCATTATGGTACGCTCAAAGCAGCTACTGCTCTTTCATTTTCTGAACTTCTTCCAATGCTTTCTCAATTGTCAGAGGTGGGGATTTGTGACTCTTGATGTACTGCAAAGTAACAAAAGATTGGTTAATACGCAAATGCTCAATCAATGCTGAAAATAAGATAAGTTTGCCTCACAACACTTGTGCCTTTCTATACCAAGCAACAGGAGCTGTGGTCTCTATCCAAGCTGGTGGAGTGTGGCAGAGGAAGCCTCTTTCTTGTGTGTTGGTGGGTGCAGTGGGGTGATAAAGAAGTTTGTAAGTATGTTCTTTGGAGTAGGAACTATTTCTCTGTATAGCATCTAGCACATTAAAAAACTCCATCAGAACACTATAAAGTGCTTGACTTTGCAACCACAGTTAGGAAGAGCTGAAATCGGGGGTGCCTGTGCAACCTTAATGTAGCCTATTGTGCATATGCATTAAGATCTTTAATTACACTTTCTACAGCTTCCCCTTCCCCATCCCATTCCCTGTGCATTGAGTTAGGCAGAGCTCTGTAGTGAATACAGCTGTTTGAGACCCTGTGCCTCATTTATTGTACAATGTGGAAGGTGTGTAGTGAACAAGGAAGATGACTGCAAAAAAAGAAAGGGTAGTCACAGGGTTAAGGCAGTCAAATTATGTCCCATCTTTCAGGGTTCGTGTGGTTTTTGGCAAATCTCTTAAACCACCTGTTTTGGTTTAACTGTATTCCTTATCCAGCTTGAGACAGCTGGGATACAAGTTACAGGAATGCTGAACACATACAGCTACAAGTGATGTCAGTGGGAGATGTGCATTGACTAGAACGTGAAATACTAAAAAAAACCAAAACAGGCTCTTGGTATCATAAATTGGGCACCCAAAATTAGTGGACCGTTCACAAGTTTGGTTTCCATTCTCCCTATGTAAAACAGAGAAATTTCACCTTGCCTCTCAGAGCTGTTTTGAAAAATTAATGTTTTAAAGTATTCAGCTACTAGGGTAGTGAGCACTGCAGAGAGGATCAGAAGGAAGATTTATATTCAGGTGTAGGGTTTGGATGGTGAGTAGTAAAAGTCTGAGATCACACATTCAATAATTAAAAAAAACTAGCAAGTTCAGTGAGTACTGTCTATTCTGTGCACTGAATGAAGCAGGAGTCTCATGGAAAAAATGTAATTAAAGAGCATAATGCTTAGGCACAAATGGCCTGAACTGAAGTTACAGCAGCCTTAATTCTGGCATTCCTAACCTGACTGCTTCACTTTGCAATCTTAACAGTCTTTTACCGGAACTTTTAGTTGCAATGTGCATTTATAAGATCACCTGCTTGGGTTCTGGTAAAAGGAGCCAGACACAAATAGTTCTCTGCAGGATCCAGTGGGTCAAGACTGCCTTCCAGTTAAGGATTAGTACCATGCCTTAAATTAGTGGGAGAAAATTGGTTCTTCCAAGATGTATGCTATGGATACTATAGGACTTGACCTATGGTAAAGAGTGGCTTTTGAGTTGCTAGACAACACTTAAGTGTTTAAGCTTTTGGTAAGCAATGTAACTATCTATTTTAGATACAACAGTTAAGTAAACTCTACTTGTTAATCTAATGGGGGAACAAATGGTCCTGGAAACAGTTATTTCTTTACTACCCTCTTGCAGGGGAAGAGGGAGACTCTCTTCCATAAACATTTATTCTCTTGCCTAGACCTAGTTTATATAACACATGAACTGTCTTCTGCTCCAGACTGGCATTCTCGACATGCTATTAAACTCCACAGCCCACCTGTCCCACAACTGTTTCTGCATATCCAGTAGATTAAAAGCCAGGGCTGGTGTTAAGGGGTAACAAGCAGGGCAATTTCCCAGGACCCTATGCCACAAGGGGCCTCAGCTTTCTGCCTTAGGCCCAGAAACTCTAATGCCAGCCCTGCTCTGGTTTGTTTTGGTTGACCCCGTGAAACCAGCTCACACCTCCCGGGGGCCTCAGATCCCCTCTACCCCCATTGAGAACAGCTGCTCTAGACAACACTCAGTTAGTACTCTGCTGCAGTTACCTCCTTAGCTTCTGCCAGTGTGTGATATTGAAATGTCTCATTCTCCAATGACTCCACAAGTGATGTATGAAGATGGTGGATGGTCTCCACGAAGTGCTGGGTCAGTATCAAGTGCTGTTTTAACAAGTCATTCAAAGCAAACACTGCAGGACTGTATGCTGTCAGGGCTACAAGCAGGAGGGAAGAGAACAAGTGCTTTAAGTGTTGTAATGTGTACAGGTTTCAGAGGAACAGCCGTGTTAGTCTGTATTCGCAAAAAGAAAAGGAGTACTTGTGGCACCTTAGAGACTAACCAATTTATTTGAGCATGAGCTTTCGTGAGCCACAGCTCACTTCATCAGATGAAGTGAGCTGTGGCTCACGAAAGCTCATGCTCAAATAAATTGGTTAGTCTCTAAGGTGCCACAAGTACTCCTTTTCGTAATGTGTACAGTGAATCCTGAACAAGTAAAGTACAAGGACAACAGAATGAGTATTAGCTTCTTGCTTTTACAATACCTTCCATGGCATCCATGGTGACAACGTGACTGGCAATAGGTACCGGATCAATATAACTGCATCCTAGAGCTGGGCCAAGGATTGCTGTGCCATCCCCTATGTATAGGATAGAATCTTAGCATTAATGTTTCTGATAGAGTATTTCAAAACTAGAAGTATGCAGCATTCCCCTTTTCAAAAGTCTGTGTAGAATTTGTGCATAGCTTTAACCAGAGACTTGTACCAGTCCACATAGAAGCTGAAGACTGCTGCTCATGTTATGCTACTATCTTATTGGAGATGTCACCCTATTATTTGCCATGGTGTGGGAAGTCACCATTTTATAGAAAGCTTCTGACCCTAGAAATGGCATAGGGAAGTGCTCAAGCACCTCAGTGCAGAATAGTTGTTTTCAGATGTACCTGCCTAGTTTTTGTTCTACTTCCTCATGCCTCCTGAAGAGCCCTAGCGACCCTCAACCATTTACAGGCAAGTGCCCTCCCCCCCGAAAGTCTAGTTCACGCAGAACTTCAGCGCTAGGCAGCGAATATTAGGAGAATCAGACCTAGAATCCTTCAGTTCAGGGCCTGAATGGCAAAAGCCGCTGGTGCTTTTTTACTTTTAAAGAAGGGGACAGTCCTGGGTTGAAACAGCTACCTGCAGAAGCAGTACAAGAATCAGCTGCTTGACCTTTGTCACTGAGTGCCTGGCTCTTCACTAGGAAGTACATTCAGTTTAAAGGGTTCTATAGTGGTAGGGTCGCTTGAGCAACATATTTATTTCATACCTTAGTTAAAAAATCCCATTTGAGGACACCATCTGAGTATTATTCCAAACCCCACTGTCTTACGAAGGCCTGTGTAGGTTCCAGTGCCCCTCAAGGAAGTCAGTTCCATCCCTCTGCTGCCCTTTAGCAACAACAGTTGGAGGTGATGAGCTGTACTATCTGGTAATGGGAGTACCTTTTGTACAGATGGCTGAATGAATATTGTGACAGATTAAAAGGGATCTTTCTGATTAATTCAGGATATAGTACCTGAACTAAAAACTACAGCTAGGCAAATTCAAACTGGAAATAAGGCATAAATTTTTAACAGTGAGAGTACGTAACCCTTGGAACAATTTACCACAGGTTGTGGTAGATTCTCCATCACTGGCATTGTTTAAATCAAGATGGGATGTTTTTCTAAGTGATCTGCTCTAGGAATTATTTGGGGGAAATTCTATGCCCTATGTTATACCACAGCTCAGACTATATGATCACAATTGTCCCTGCTGGCCTTGGAATCTATTAATAGAGTTTAGACAACTATTTAGGATTAGCACTTGAATCCTAGAAACCCCAAAACTTTAAATCAATGTGAACTTACTCTTTGACCAGTGATAGGAGAATGGAGAATCAGTTGTCTGCACAGCCATCTCTTTCACAGTCACTCTGCTTACTGTCTCATGCCATTTTTTGTTAGACTGAGGCGATGAGAGTGAGGGAGAAAGGTCTTTTCTGGAATACATAGAGCTGTTAGACTGCCCCACTGTCATTTCAGACAAGGATTTTTTGTCTGTAGTCTCAGATACTGGTAGAGACAGAGATTTTTCAAAGTCTTCAGAATATTCTGAATTAACAGTGCTCTCCTCAGGTCCTGGAAACACTTGTCTAACGCTAAAATAGTCTGTAGAAATTCCACTTAAAACCTCAGAGATTTCAGCTTCAGTCATGATTTCCCCTTCCATATCATTGTTAGAAGCAGCATTAGTACTAGTTAGGACACTCACCACTTTAAGGGGGGTTTGGTCATTATTATTCACAGGAAACACAATTGGTTCTGAGTCCTTGTTTGATTTTTTTTTTATTTGAATGTCTGTCTCCTGTTAAAATTCCAAGAGTGGAGTCTCAGCAATACAAGTTGGAAAGGTTTGTTATATTTCTACAACGTTGTACTACAGTATAGATCACTTATGAAATATTAGCCTTATTGGTTGCTACATACTTTGACCAGACTTATGTTTTCTTAATAGGAAATGAGTAACGTTCTCTTGAAATATTACCAAGAAAGGTAAGTCTAACTAACAGATAATGTGTAATCTACTAAAAGAAATTTAAAACCCAGTGAATATAATCTCAGATAGTGTAAATCTAGTTAATTTGCTTTCTACATAATAGGTCTAGGTAGATTATTAGAAGGTAAAATGGAAGCTGTTCCCTTCAAAACATCCATCTTCATTTAACACATGAATACAAATTCTCCTAGATAACGTAAGGATTTACTACTTACCATTTGTTTTAATGTTTCTCTATCACCAGAAACATTTGGATCCAAGTCATCAATGCTCAAAATATTTAATCTGAAGTCTGCAATTGAATGACAAATGGTATCACAGCAGGAAAGTTACCTTACGTATTCCTTTAAAGGAGAAAAGGCCATACATTCAATACTGTTTTCCTGATTTACATATTCACTTATACAGATCAAGAAAGTTTTACGTGGTATTTACTTCAGACCCTCCATGCCCTATCTATTGAGATCTTTTGTACTTTACAGTTTTCTTGAATTGGAGGATTTTTTTTTTAAAAGAGATAATCCAAGCACTGATTAAGTTAAATCAACTGGATTCATAATGCATGCAGATTCTCTTGTTTAATGTTGTCTAGTGATGATATAAGAAAGCTATTTTTAAAAGTTCCATAAGACTGGTCAGAATGGTACTTTGGTCTGATGTTTAGAACGGGACTAAATCTCAGAATTCCTAGGTTCTATTCCTGGCTCTACCTTGTAATTGTTGTTAGAGTATGGACAAGTCACTAAACCTCATTGTCTTATTTTCCTCCATTTAACATGGAAATAATACCTTTTTGCTCGATGGGGCGATGAATTTGCAAGACTTAATTTATGTTTGTAAAGTGCCTGCCTGCGTAGCTTGAAATGAAAGGCAATATAAATTTTACTGTATTACCATCAGTAATACATCACTAAAACAAAGTTCAAGGTAAGTCACTGTTAGGACTCCAGTCCATAGTGATGGTGCAGCTTGAACCATAATCCTGATTTCTTAAATGCAATTGTCAACAATTATTTGAGCCAAACCAGAGCTAAGCATGAAGCTGCAAATGTAGACATGGACAAACTGTGTTCAGCACTGTAAACTGTGCTTGTCTAGACTTGCATCTTTACCAATTTCTGACAACTGTGCTCAGTAACAGTTTAATTCTGCAGTGCAGACAAGGCCTAAGCTAGATTCCACTGGCTTCCACAGGCGTGTCTGTGAGCTATGATTTATTTTGACATGGTTATAACCAAGCTTTCCTCACTTGTTCATATCACTAAGCTAGAGGTCGCGCACTTTATTTCTTCTGTAGACACAGGTCATTGCACACACCAGGGACTTCTTGAATTCCTCCATTTCCCCCACAAGCTTCCCATGCTTCTCTCATCCCCCTTTGTTTCAAGGACATCCTGCAATCCTCTCCCTCTCATTCCAGGGATGCTGTGTGCTCTTTCTTACCATGCCAGAGGCTCTGTGTGTTCCCTCCTTCCTGTCTCCCATTCTTTCCACATCCAATGCCAGGGTCTCTGTGGGCTCCTTATTTTCCCCTTCTACCCAGGCCCCCTATTTCACTGTGTGCCCCCCACATCCCCCTCCCCATACCACTGTCCCCCATTTCCACACCTGCCAGGGTCTCTGTGTGCATCCCCATTCATCCTAGTGCCAGGGTTCCTCATTCCCCCCACCCATGCCAGGGACTCTGGGTGCAACCCCATTGTTCCTGATCATTCTTATTTCTTTTCTTTCTGTTGGGAGATAAGTCATTCAGGTTGTCAACTTTTAAAAGAGAACTAGAAGATTGGGCAGAGATGAGATGGGGGATAATGTTATGCTGGAAGATATCAATGGCTGCCAACAACTTGTTCTTTGATCTATAGACAATTACAGAGGTGGTTGAAGCTGCTGGGTCTCCTAACCAGACAAAAGGGACAACATGTTCCCCCCATTTTCCAATTTTTACCAAAATCAATAGGATTTCTGCTCATTGGTGCCGAGAACATTCTCTGAAATTCTGAACTAATCAGCTGCAGTATTTAAAAGGTATCATATTACAGACAAAGAGAGAAATGCCATCAGATTGATTGTAGGACCTTGCTTCCTTCAGCCAATCAAAAATGGGGGGGGGAGGGGAAGGTTTACATTACATTAGAACAACATTGCTTAGAGCAAATCTCAATCCCTTTGACAGGATCTAGAGTTCTGTAGGATAAGTTTGTTGAATATGATGAGCTCTAATTTAGTTTGAGTGTCCATGGATTATATCAAGTCTGTTCAGAACATAAGCAGAAATGTAAAATGAACTTAGAAAAACTCACCATTGGAACTGTCACTGGTTGCATTTTCTGTATCTGCTGCTTTTGAAAACAACTCATCCAAAGACTTGATTTCACTCCTTTCAGACAAGGACACCTGACTTTGTTTGATGTGGTTCGTTCTAGGTGAAGTGGTCTCTGCAAAGCTGTCTTTTATTGAAGTTGGCAATTGAAAAGACATACTAGTTGGTCTTTGCAAGTTTCTACTTGGTGGAGAGGGAGTTTGTGGATTAATTCTATCAGAGGTTCTTTTCTGAGAACTTCTGCTAAGTAGTGAAGGAACACTAAATAGATTTGTCAAAGACTGTTTTTTGGGTGGAAAAGATGTTCTTGGTGGACTCTTCATCTTGGACTTCATGAATAACTTGAAAAAGAGATTTGTCATTACTTTACCTATTTTCAACCTTTACTAAAAGGTTTACTAACAACTTTTACTTTCACTGAAATTAAAAATACACTATATTGATAATGAATAATCTACCATTCAGAATGCTAAATAGAATAAGTAGTATGTCAATTGACCATTAGCTCTCATCTTATAAAAGTAGATTACAAATACTAGAAATTAAGTTGTTACAGTGTGTTAATTTTCTATAAAGTGATCTGCCATTTTAAAGTGTAATTTCATAAAATGTAAATAACAATGTCTAACCCAGTAAAATTGTTACCTTTCTGTCAGGTTTAGAAAAATTGGTGACATCCTTCTGGTTCTCATTTTCACTGGAAAACTCCAAAGAGCTCCCTAGTAATTGTCTCATTTCCTCTTCATCACTATCTAGACCACGTTGTTTTCTAATTGGCACTTTGTTTTTTGTTGTCTGGCAGCTACTTTTCTCCTTGAAATGGGCTTTACTCAATGTCACATTTTCCTTGACTGTGTCATTTTTCTTCAGATACCTGCTACCTCTTGCACTCTCCTCCAGGCTGGATCTGGCTGATAAGTTCTTTTCATCCGAAATCTTCGGGTCCAATCCAGTATCAGAAAAATCCATCTGCACCTTTCGGGTCATGATCTTGCTTTCTATCTGTGCTAGCTTTCTCAGAACGGCACTTGACCTCACCTTTGAGGCTGTATCCAGAGTTTTTTTTGCAACATGCTTGTTCCCCTCCTGCATGGCACAAGTATTCTGGTTCAGCTGGTTTCTTTGTGCATGCTGCTTTTTCTTTAGGAATCTGCTGTGACTAAACTGAGTTTCCACGAGGCTCTCCCTTTTAAGGTCTTTGTTTTTGTCAGTTTCCACCCTTTCTGTGTTGCCTATAGAAAGGGTACTGTTAGAGTCAGTAGGGGCACTACTATGTTTGGACATGGTAAGTTTTTTAAGGTGAGAATCCATGTGTCCCTGTGGAAGAATTACAAAAGGAGGAGGATGAACAAAAGGTAGGAATAAATGGTAAATTTTCAGAATGGAGAGGGGTAACTAGTGGTGATTCCCAAAGATGAGTCCTAGGACTAATCCTATTCAACTTATTCATAAATGATCTGGAGAATGGGGTAAACAGTGAGGTGGCAAAGTTTGTAGACGATACTAAACTGCTCGAGATAGTTAAGACCAAAGCAGACTGTGAAGAGCTTCAAAAAGATCTCACAAAATTAAGTGATTGGGCAACAAAATAGCAAATGAAATTTAATGTGGATAAATGTAAAGTAATGCACATTGGAAAAAATAACCCCACCTATACATACAATATCATGGGGGCTAATTTAGCTACAGCTAATCAGGAAAGAGACCGTGGATAGTTCTCTGAAGACATCCATGCAGTGTGCCGCTCTGTCAAAAAAGCAAACAGGATGTTAGGATCATTAAAAAAGGGATAGAGAATAAGAGGGAGAATATCTAATAGCCCTTATATAAATTCATGGTATGCCCTCACCCCGCATACTGTGTAGAGATGTGGTCGCCTCATCTCAAAAAAAATATACTGGCATGAGAAAAGGTTCAGAGAAGGGCAACTAAAATAATTAGGGGTTTGGAATGGGTCTCATATGAGGGGAGATTAAAGAGGCTAAGACTTTTCAGCTTGGAAAAGAGGAAACTAAGGGGGGGATATGATAGAGGTATATAAAATCATGAGTGGTGTGGAGAAAGTGAATAAGGAAAAGTTATTTACTTGTTCCCAAAATATAAGAACTAGGGGCCACCAAATGAAATTAATGGGCAGCTGGTTTAAAACAAATAAAAGGAAGTTCTTCTTCACACCACGCACAGTCAACCTGTGGAACTCCTTGCCTGAGGAGGTTGTGAAGACTAGGACTGTAACAGGGTTTAAAAGAGAACTGGATAAATTCATGGAGGTTAAGTCCATTAATGGCTTTTAGCCAGGATGGGTAAGGAATGGTGTCCCTATCCTCTGTTTGTCAGAGGGTGGAGATGGATGGCAGGAGAGAGATCACTCGATCATTACCTGGCATTGGCCACTGTCGGCAGACAGGACACTGGGCTGGATGGACCTTTGGTCTGATCCAGTGTGGCCGTTCTTACGATCCCTTGTTGATCAGACACTACTGAACCATGGGAGACCTACCGCTGATTTCCCGCATGATCTTAGCAAGACATTTAATCTTCCTCAGCTTCCATTCTCCATGGGTAAAATGGGGATAGCAATATTTCCTTCCTCTACCCTGTGCCTGTCTTCTCTATTTCAACTATAATCTTTTCAAGGCAGGGACTGGTCTCTTACTACGTGGACCTACGACACGGCCTCGTGCAACGGGTCCGTGCCCTCGTGGGCCTCCAGGCGCTTCCCTCGTACACACAACAGGCACGACCAAGCCTGAAGCGACCGCGACCCAGCCCCTCCCCTGCACCCCGCACAGGCCACCCAGCGCCGGGGCCGATGCCCCAGCGAAGCCCGTGACGGGAGCCCGGACCCCACCTGCCGCCCCGCCCAGGGGCTGAGGTCGGGTGAGCGCAGCGCTTCCCTCCGCATCCCGGCGGCTGCCCCGCGGGCCCAGGCTGCTGGAGGCGGCACCGAGTCTCCCGGCTCCCGCGGCCTGCGTCCCTGGCCTAGAGAGGACGGGGTGGGCTCCGCGCCCGCCAGCGGCCCGGCCAGGGCCACAGCTCCGCACTCCAGCCTTGCCCGTATTCCTTCGGCATCCCGGCAACGCCGGCCCGCGGTGCACCGACCCCTGATTGGCCAGCCCGCCCACGGGCGCCGCTACCGTAGCGACGACCTTTCATCGCCTAACGCGAACCAATCACAAAGCCTTCTCTCCGGCGCGCCGGCGTGCGGCTCAGCGCAGACTACCAGTCCCGGCACACATTACGGCCGGAAGTGCGCGGGCCGGACCGGCAGGTGGGGCCGGACAGTCCGCGCTCCTTCATGGCTCTAAACCAATCAGAGCCCTCTCCACCAGGAGGCGCGAGAATACGAATCAAACAGCGCCAAACTGGCGCGAGGGCAAGGACCAATCAACTGTGACTTCGGCCTGAGGCGCGAGGGAGGTCGGGCGGGCACCAGCAGATTAGCTGGCGACGGCGTTTGGTTCGGTTACCGTGGTTCCCGGGCTGCTCGGGCGAAGACGGCTTCCCTACAGGGGGAAAGCGGGATCGGCCGAGAAATGGGGCCCCTGGGCCTCGCCCTGCTCTTCTGGGCAGCGCTCAGCGCTGCCCACGCCGTCGTGTATTTCCGGGAGCAGTTTATGGATGGAGGTGACCCAGGAGGGAGTCCGGTGGAGATCGGCGAGAGGATGGGGCGAGCCTGGGGGAGTCCTCTGAGGAAAGGGGAGTGTGTCTAAGAGGTTGGGTTGATAGGTGGAGATGAACCTGGGTGGGGTAGGGGCAGTGGGAAAGTGCCCATTGATGCCCCCCAGCTCACTGTGGTATGCGAGTCCTGAGGGGAAAGGGAATTTCCGAGAGCGATTAAGGGTAGGGTTGCCAACTTTCTAATCACACAAAACTGAACACCTTTGCCCTGCCTCACCCCTTAGGCTCCACCTCACTCCATTCCCCCTGTTCATCACCCACTCTCCCCTATCCTCACTCACTTTCACTGGGCTGGGGCTGGTGTGGGAGGGAGTGAGGGCTCCGGTGTGGGGCTAGAAATGAGGGGTTAGGTGTGCATGAGGGGGCTTCAGACTGGGGCAGGGGGTTGGGGTGCAGGAGAGGATGAGGGCTCTGGCTGGGGGTGTAGACTCTGGTGTGGAGCCAGGGATTAGGGGGGCAGGAGGGGTCTCTGGGCTGGGGCCAAGGGGTTTGGTGTGTGGGAGTGGGCTCAGGGCTGGGCTTGGGGAGGGGGTTCCAATCTGGGCCAGGGGTGGGGTGGGGGTTTGGGCTCCAGCCACGCAGTGCTTACCTCAGGTGCCTCCCAGTCGGCGGAGTAGCGGGGCTAAGGCAGGCTCCCTGCCTGCCCTGGCTCTGCGCTGCCCCCGGAAGCAGATGGCATGTCTGATTCCTAGGCATGGGGCAAGTGGGAGGCTCTGCACGGTGTGTGCTGCCCGTGCCTGTAGGTGCCACCCCTGCAGCTTCCATTGACCCCCATAAGTGCTGACTTCTATTCCATCTCTGCCCCGGCCCAACCTCTTCCCCGCCTCCTCTCCTGAGCGTGCCATGTTTGCGCTCCTCCCCCCTCCCTCCCAGAGCTTGCTACAGCTGTTTGGCCGCAGCAAGCTTTGGGATGTAGGTGGAGGAGCAGGGATGCAGCACGCTCAGGGGAGGATGCAGAGCACCCACTAATTTTTCCCTGTGGGTGCTCCAGCCCCAGAGCACCCACAGAGTCAGCGCCTATGATCGCCCCTTCACCTAGGGGCCGCAGGGACATGCCGGCCACTTCCGGGAACTCTGTGGAGCCAGGGCAGGCAGGGAGCCTGCCTTAGCCCCGCTGCACTGCTGACTGGACTTTTAGCGGCCTGGTCAGCAGTGCTGACCAGAGCTGCCAGGGTCCCTTTTTGACCAGGCGTTCCGCTCAAAAACTGGACACCTGCCAACCCTAATTAAAGGGTTGAGGAATTTCTAAGGCCATGAGAGTTGGGGGTGCAATTCCTGCTGGGTGAGCGGAGAACCCCAGGTTGGGGAGAAGTTTTTAGAAAGGAGTGATCCCTAGGGAATATGGGAAGAGTCTGGGACTCAGAGAGGTCCTGAATAAATAGGTAACTTAGTTCAGCCCTTCTCAGCACACTGAGTCTGAAGCGGTTATTGTACAGGATGTACTGGCTGCAGATTAGAGGCAGCAAACTTGTGTTCCACACCACCCTATTAAGCAGCCTCCTGTCTTGAATACACCTCATCGTGTTCTGCTTTGTTCAGTTCAGATCCACTTCACTGGAAGACCAGATCTGTCACTTCTGGCCCTTTGAGAAGTTGCTGAAGACATTTTTATCCCTTGATAGTTGGGGCCTATCAAGATTTGCCCCCACTTTTTTTGCTTTAGAAATTTCACTCAATTCTTTATAAGTAGTTTCACCTTTCTTCCCCTGAAATAAATGCTTTAAAAAAAAGTTAGTGTGAACAGTCCATTACTCTTCTGCCACGAGTGCAGGGGACTGGATTAGATGACCACCTGAGGTCCCTTCCAGGCCTATAATTCTATGATTCATTTACTCTATAACAAAAGGTAATAATGAGTAACGGAACAGATTTCATTTTCAAACTTCTGAGGAGTTTTTGTATATAAAAGTATGTTTCAAAAAGTTTTAAAATTTGAGAGACCTTGTCTGTGTCGTTTTAATTTATTTAGTGGCCTAAATGTTTCTATTGGTATCAGATTACTAATATTTAATATCATTTAACAGTTAAATGGCAAGACAGATGGATAAATTCTCAATATAAATCCAATTATGGGAAATTTAGACTAACAGCTGGAAAGTTTTATGGAGATGCAGTCAGAGATAAAGGTTTGTGCATTTCATTTAAAATGTGTTATTAGGACTGCATACATTGTTAATAATTGACATGTTGTTCTTGAAATCTTGTCCTCCCTTGGCTTCCATGACTGTCTTCTCCTGGTTCTCTTCCTACCTCTCTAATCTCTTTATTCATTGTGTCCTTCAGATGATTCTCCTCATTCACCTTCCAACTTTATGCGGGGTTTCCAGAGGGCTCTGCCCTTGGTCTCCTTCACTTCTCCCTCTACACCTGATCTTTGAGTAATCTTATCTGCAAACATAAATTCAACTCCATCTGGTGACTCTCAGATCTACTTCTCTACTCCATCTTTATCTCCTGTACAAACTAAAATCTCAATCTGTTTCTCTGACATTTCCTTGTTGATGTCTAGATATCAGATCAAGCTCAACATGGCTAAAGCAAAGCTCCTAATCTTTCATCCATGCCATTCCTTCTATCTCCTTTCTTGATCACTGTGGATGGTGACAATATCCTGTCTGTCACTCACTAAGGCCCCTAGCCTGGAGATCATCTTCTGTATGGATGTCTCTGTAGGTCTTCACATCCAAGCTAAATCTTACTGATTGTTTTCTGCATAATATAGCTAAGATACATCCACACAGCTAAAACTCTTGTCTAAGCTCTCATCTTGCATCTTGATTACTGCAATTTCCTTAACAAATGCAGTGTTGCCCTGCTCATCTCCATTCAGAAAGCTGCAATAAAGATAATGTTATTTACCCCATTGTTTTGATCATGTCAACCCTCCACTGGCTCCCCATCTCAGTCACATCAAATATAAGTTGCTTATTTTCACTTTTCAGGCCCTGCATATTCTGTATCAGCTCTACCTATCATCTCATTCACTATCAAGCTGTTGACTCTCACTTCTGATTGGCCCATGATGCCAGCCTTCATCACCCACTTGTTAAATTTTTAAATAAGCACATTGGGGTTTTATCCCATGCTCCCCCTCACGCTTGGGAAGTACTTGTATAAACATCTGCAAAGCCACCTCATTATCCACTTTAAAAACCCTCCTCAAAACTCTCCTTTGCTGTGATCAAATCATAGAATATCAGGGTTGGAAGGGACCCCAGAAGGTCATCTAGTCCAACTCCCTGCTCGAAGCAGGACCAATTCCCAGTTAAATCATCCCAGCCAGGGCTTTGTCAAGCCTGACCTTAAAAACCTCTAAGGAAAGAGATTCTACCACCTCCCTAGGTAACGCATTCCAGTGTTTCACCACCCTCGTAGTGAAAAAGTTTTTCCTAATATCCAATCTAAACCTCCCCCACTGCAACTTGAGACCATTACTCCTCGTTCTGTCGTCTGCTACCATTGAGAACAGTCTAGAGCCATCCTCTTTGGAACCCCCTTTCAGGTAGTTGAAAGCAGCTATCAAATCCCCCCTCATTCTTCTCTTCTGCAGACTAAACAATCCCAGCTCCCTCAGCCTCTCCTCATAAGTCATGTGTTCTAGACCCCTAATCATTTTTGTTGCCCTTCGCTGGACTCTCTCCAATTTATCCACATCCTTCTTGTAGTGTGGGGCCCAAAACTGGACACAGTACTCCAGATGAGGCCTCACCAATGTCGAATAGAGGGGAACGATCACGTCCCTCGATCTGCTCGCTAGGCCCCTACTTATACATCCCAAAATGCCATTGGCCTTCTTGGCAACAAGGGCACACTGCTGACTCATATCCAGCTTCTCGTCCACTGTCACCCCTAGGTCCTTTTCCGCAGAACTGCTGCCTAGCCATTTGGTCCCTAATCTGTAGCGGTGCATTGGATTCTTCCGTCCTAAGTGCAGGACCCTGCACTTATCCTTATTGAACCTCATCAGATTTCTTTTGGCCCAATCCTCCAATTTGTCTAGGTCCTTCTGTATCCTATCCCTCCCCTCCAGCGTATCTACCACTCCTCCCAGTTTAGTATCATCCGCAAATTTGCTGAGAGTGCAATCCACACCATCCTCCAGATCATTTATGAAGATATTGAACAAAACCGGCCCCAGGACCGACCCCTGGGGCACTCCACTTGACACCGGCTGCCAACTAGACATGGAGCCATTGATCACTACCCGTTGAGCCCGACAATCTAGCCAGCTTTCTACCCACCTTATAGTACATTCATCCAGCCCATACTTCCTTAACTTGCTGACAAGAATACTGTGGGAGACCGTGTCAAAAGCTTTGCTAAAGTCAAGAAACAATACATCCACTGCTTTCCCTTCATCCACAGAACCAGTAATCTCATCATAAAAGGCGATTAGATTAGTCAGGCATGACCTTCCCTTGGTGAATCCATGCTGGCTGTTCCTGATCACTTTCCTCTCA